TGGGGCTGTTCAGCGTGGAGAAGAGAAGGCTGTGTGGCGACCTCATAGCAGCCTTCCAGTGTCTGAAGGGGGCCTATAGGGATGTTGGGGAGGGACTCTTCATTAGGGACTGTAGTGATAGGACAAGGGGTAAGGGGTTAAAACTTAAACAGGGGAAGTTTAGGTTGGATCTAAGGAGGAAATTCTTTCCTGTTAGGGTGGTGAGGCACTGGAATGGGTTGCCCAGGGAGGTTGTGAATGCTCCATCCCTGGCAGTGTTCAAGACCAGGTTGGATGAGGCCTTGGGTGATATGGTTTAGTGTGAGGTGTCCCTGCCCATGGCAGGGGGGTTGAAACTGAATGATCTTAAGGTCCTTTCCAACCCTAACTATTCTATGACTCTATAACATATTTTCCCAGCTCTTGGTAGAGAGAAGACCAATGACTTTCTGAGCTGGAGAGCCAGTGTACAGGTCTTCTGTGGCCTAAAATACTTTTTCGTGTCTGAATTTGTCTAGATAGGTTGTTGCAAGAGACCTGATCCTGAAAAGCATTAATTCATAAATACGTTTGGAGGAAGTATAGAAAATGGGGGTGCTCTTGAAAAGGAGGGGTTTGCTAAGACAAGTCTGTAGCACGACAGGATGGCCAGGTCACTGTGCCACATCAGGGGCAATGTTCCCTGGAGTCAGGAGTGAGCAGCTCTGTAGTGTGACTGCTCTTTGTTAGTGATACTCGGGAAAACACAAAACCTATCACCAACACGATACGTTACCTGAGGTTGAACAAGAAAGCAATTACAGTAGCAGATTGCCATTAACAGGTAGAAAAAAATATGCCCAAGCCTGCTTCTGCATCTCAACTTGTGGTCTGATGTTCAGATAAGATGAAAACATCGTAACTTTCAGTGATTAACTGTGAAACAGTGGAAGTGAGTGTTCACAAGTGAATTTGTTTTCAAAACAACCTTAAATACTTTCATCCAGGCATTTCTTTCTGAATAGCACAGCCTTCTGTGACACCATGGAGCATTTTTATGTGCAGTCTTAATTGAAGCAGTCTTATTTATAGTAGTGAGTATTCATTCCTGTGATTCTGAGGAAGGCTAATAAAATGTTCTCACTTTCCTTTGCATCAGCTAATGATCTGGAAAACAAATATATTGCCATTTCTAGGGAACCTGATCTTGCCATACTAGATTATACTGGACAAAAGCTGTATTTCACCTTCCATTTATTTATTATTCACATTTCTCCAGCGTCTGAAGTTCCTGCTGTGGTGCATCAGGCATAGACCCCCTGGCAGTCCATGTCCCAGAACTGGTAATTTACATCTAAGATGAGAGACAACAGATGGAGCCAGAGAGACAAAGAAGTATAAGGAGATAATTAGACCAAATCCATCAATGCAACTGGCTATAGTCTTCATGCACTAACACTGTGGCAAAGGATTGTTGCACAAGAGGGTTTAAAGGGAGTCTTGTGAGATGCGTGCTCTATACTGTGCTAAAATATTACCTTCAATACTTAGATAAATTTAATCAGAGAATCTGACTGCAGAGTGAGCTTTTTTTATCACTGATCAGTAATTGTTGTTTACAATACTTAGTTCTCAGTTTAGCTATCCTTGGTTTATCAGGCTAAAGAATGGTTTATGTCAAAGGACATGTCAAAGGAGACATCAGTCCTTTGTGCAACTAGAGCACAATGCAGAGATGCAGCTTTCCACAGGATGAGGTATCACAGTATGGATGTAGGAACTGTCCATAGCCAACGGCAAGCTGACTATGATGAGTTGTGTAAAGTTTTCCTTCTGCAGTGATGATGTTTCACCATTTAAATGGCCAGAAACAACGAGGACACATGGCAGTATCCTTTAACTCGGGTCTTTTACATAATTGAATGCAACATTGCACTGCAGTGAGGGATTTGGGGAATCTGAGCCTGTCCTCTGCACTAATAAGTGCTCCTTTCTCAGCCAAGAAGAGAGGAGCAATACTGGCCCAGGGAGTTGATGAACACTGAGATTTCACAGGCCAATGCTCCTGTGAGCTGCCTGAAGACTTGAACTGTGTCATCTGGAAAAGTTCTGCTACCCCTGCTCTTGCTTAGGGAGGTCTTTTTGTTACTCTAGAATGAGTAATAAAGAATGAGAAATAATCTCAGTCAGCACTCTCCTAATGACTCTTTGCAAGTGATCTCAGCCTGCCTCAGAGACATGTGTTGAACCTGGCCAGCCTTCATTCTTGACAAAAGCCTTTTAATAACAAATATTACCAAACCAGGAAAAGTATAGTAGAATGAAATCCAGAGCCTAATGCTGGGAAATGGTTGTTGACTTCCAAGCTGTTTTCAGGTACCCAATCCTGCTAGCTCTTCTGTGAAAACAAGAGCTGCAGGGCTTTCATCTTTAGATACCATTTTGCACCTAAGGTGAGCTGTGGCCAGGTAATTTGATTCGGATAATCTTTAGAGAGCTCCAAAATGTGTTGCTCCTATGTCAAATGTGAGATCTTATCTGAAATCGGGCTGGTATGAGGACTCAGTGACAGCTCATTGCATCAGTGGCCTGCCTTTCCTGACTCATCCTGATCAATGGCCAGGGTGCTCCTACAAGTATTGATACATCCCAGCAATTTCTAACTTCTGGAAATTATATTGAGCTCTGGAAGAAGCAACTTTGGAAAGTCAAGAATACACCAGCAGTGGAATGAAAACCTTACTCACACCTTCTCTAATTCTTCTCTCTCCTTCTGAAAGTGCCTCCCTCTGCAAGCTTTTGCAATTACCTCTCATTAGCCATTGACAATAAAGGAAGAGAAGGCATAAATTGGAAGCATGAATCATATCCTAATTTAGCCTGTCTCTTCTGCTAGTAGGAAGGCATATGCTTCTCAGACACTCATCTGCATCAAGACTAAGAATGCAGGCATCCGAGGGAAAGCTGAACCATTCAGACTTGTACGATGAAGTGGTTTCTATTTTCCTTTAAACAAGAGAATAATAAATTGGGAAATCTTCTCCTTACAACTGTCTTCATCCTGTATAAGGTATGTGCCTAAACTAGTTCTCTGTATTCAAATGTGTAGGAGGAAAGCTTGGTTTCTGGTTAAGTGTCTGCAAGCCGGGGGTTGACTGTGTGTTTCTGATGCAGACTGTGTGTGCTTGGCAAATCTTTATGTATTAATCTGCGTTTTACAGCTGAGGAAATGAAAATGCCCTTACACAGTTCATGGAAAGGGCTGTATGAGACTGTTGCAGTAAGACAGAACTTGCTTGTGTAACCTGCAAGTTCCTTCTAGTCCTAAATTCCTGAGCTCACAGGCTCAACGAGAGCATTGATATTTTTGAGGGCTTCAGGCATTATAATCACGGAATAAGTCCACAGAACAAAAGGACTTCTCTAAACAGACAGTAAGGATCTAAGAATCAAAACAAAAACTGGCTCCAAATAGTCTTCTTGAAGCAAGAGAGGTAACGTGGATTAGGATGAGATTGTTGTAATGCTTAACTGAGAGTATAAAGCCAATACTTGTGCAAACATGCAGGTATCTTTCAAGTAGATCACATGAGCACCCATGATGATATTGTAGACAGAAATAAGGTCACCCGGGTAGGCTGTGGAATAACTCAAATTATTTCTTTTGAAAAACAAACCAAAACATGTTTTCATGCTGTTGCAGTGTTTTGTATAAACTTTCTCTAGTGCTGTGCTATACCATACTCATAGGGAAAAGCTCCTTTTTTTCTTACAAGTACCACCTGCTTAAGTTATGGAACTTTATTTAGTTTACAGAAAGTTGCAAAATTTAAACAGGATAAACCTATGTCACAGACAGAATCTGGTATCGGTGAAAACAAATCTCTAGTACCAAAACACAAGTTAAATATTGATGACTTCCCAAATTCCGCATCATAGTAAAACGAACTTTGATGCTCAGAGAGCACAACAAGGCCACTTGGAAACAACTATGCAAAAACTCAGTGGAGATCCGTTGCATTGCAAAGACTTTAAAATGTGCAAGCTAGCTGTTTCATTACTGTGCGTTAGTACACCTCAGGAGAAAGAGAAAAAGCAGTATATATAGTGTGCTATTTAAACTCTTTTCTATTACACTGCTATTAATGTATTAGTAGAAGAAGAATCTCACATTTAAGTGCTAAAAATAAGCCTCTGGAAAAATGCACTGTGGTACAATTCACTACATTACGAATCCCAAAGTCTACCAAGAGATGCAGACAGTGGTATGTTGTAAACTGCCTGGGAAGAAGGTAACAAATGTGGAATGTCATTATCCCCTGTTTTCTGGTGAAGCTAGCTGAGGACCCACTGATGCCCTGTCTGACATGACAGTAACAAAGCAGCAGTGTTTGCCCATAATAAGTAAAGAAACTTCAACAAGAGCCCTGTGGTATAACTAGCAGCATCTTGTGTAAGTGTCTGCAATGCTCCCCACAGGTCAGAAAAGTCCCTCTCTTTCCAGAGTGACACAAACAACCAAACTAAGCAAACTGGGGTTTGGGACAGCATTTTTAACTCTCTGCACCTTCTCCTATGCTGAAAATATACAGAAGTGGAAGTAAGTCAGGAAGTACTGTCTCCGAGTATTGAAAGTCCAGCCCTGTCCTGGTGTTCTCCAGTTGTGTCACCACTGGCCATAGAAACAGCTGATATTAAGGAAGTGATGCTGTGGTATCTTCTCCGCAGGGCTTTTCTCTTTGCTGGAAAACTTCCCTTGGGCTAAATCTGTCTTTGGGTCAGACTTTCCTGGAGTCCCAAAGGTTCCTGGAGGCTCAAAAAGGAAATAAGAACAGGAACAAGCCTTTCCCATTTCACAGCTGACGGAAGAGTTGTTTGATAATGGCAGGGTAATAACAGGCAGAACAATTCAGATTAGAAGTCCACAAATCCACTTGACTAACACAGCTCAGGCCAGCAGCTCCAGATAATGGAAGTTATTATACAAAGTACAGCCCTTATTTTGGAAGTTAATACTTGTTCTTATCTCCTTTAGGCTTTCTGTGAAAACTATAAATGCTCCGTCCTTCCCAGAGCCTTCTCAGGCCTGCTGCACAGAGTGCGTAATACGCTAATATTGGAGATTTTGCTCAGTTTTATACTCAAAAGGCTCTAATCTGCTAATGCCTATCGCTTCTGGAGGTTAGACCATGCAGTGAGCTCAGAGGTGAGATATCAGCAAAGGCTTTCTGGCTCTTTGGGTTATTAAGTGCTGGCTCTGATAGCCCAGGATGATTTTAGGAAAGGGCTTGAGAACTTCTGGGTGGAGTAGTTTTGGTAGAGTTCCTTCTGCCGTGGGGCAGCCTGCTGGACTAGATGAGCTCAGAAGAGGCACATCATCCTTTCCATCATTCACCTTTTCTTCCATGCCTTGGCCATGATGGCTTAGTGTTTTCTGCTTCCCATCTATGCCAGTTTTTAGAAACAAGTGGTTCCAAGGTGTCTTTGGTGTCCCCCCACTGCTGCCTGAGTGGTCCTGCAGCCCATGGCACATGGCTTATCCTGCCTTGGAGAAGAATGTGTCCTCTTCACAGCTGAGAGGAAATGTTGTAAGCTGAGGGGGTGAAACAAATCACGTTTCTTTCTATTTAAAAATTGAACAAGAATTGCCATGCTATCTTATTAGCAGATAAAAGCTAATATTATCACCTGTCATGTGAAAAGAGGAGGAGGACTGGAATATGATCTCCTGGGAAGCACAATAAGTGAGCCTGCATCATGAGAGCTGTTAGGTGGATCCAACAGACTAGGTTTATTTCCTCTCTTACAAATTTCAGTGGATAACTAAATGAAACCCCATAGTGAGATCCCTGCTGAACGACACCGTTTTCTGATCTTTCAGAGTTACTGATTTCAGCCTTAAATTGTACTGAAGCTTCCTTTAAAACAGAGATTGCTGCATCTGGAAGCACTACAGAAACATGCCTCAGGCAGCTGCTATCTTTTCCAGTCCTCAGCAACTGCCAAACCTCGCTGCAGCTCCCTCACCTGAAGTGTGAAAGGGCAAAATCTGTCTGGCTGGAGAACATCCATCCCACAAAAAGGGAGCTTAATACTCACCAGTGCCATCCATCTACTCAGAAGCTCCCACTTTTGGACATGATTTATTCCTGTCATTGTCCAGGACAAGTGTGGCAGACACCTTGATCTCTCTAGGCTGCACATCCCATCCAGGAGATACTGGTAAGTTAGCAGGGTTTATTTTTCACCTTCCCCCATTAGATTAGCTTCAGCTGGTTGGGAAGATGGCCTGGGAATGGAGTGAGTGCGGGAATCCACATCAGCCACCCACCCTTGACTTGAGACACAGCTGCAGGGATAAGGAAGGCAGAAGCTTCCTATGGACATCCTGCCATAGCAGAGATGTGGACACTTGTGTATCACCCACATAAGAAGTCTTCCTTTCCCCGTCCATTCCTACCTACATTCATGTCAAAGAAGGGGACAAACCCCAAATATCAGCAAAATAGGCAGGGATGAAACTGCTATAAAAATAGTAATTTTTAAAAGGTAATGACTTATCCACTGGTGCTGGGGACAACACAAGTACTGAGGGAAAGATGTTCTTTTTCTCTCCACAAGTGCCTGAGGGGTATTCATTTGCTGAAAAGCATTTTCTCCTGTATGCTTGAGATGGTTTGAAATGCTTCCAGGAACACAGCCAATTCCCACCTTCAGCTCCCCCCTGCCTTGTCCTTTTCCAGCAGGCTGTCCTTCCAGCGAGGAAATGCAAAGGGAGGGGAAGCTGCTCTGGCTGCCTCTGAAGGTCACAGGCACAAGGGGCTCATGCTGGCTCCTTGGGACGGTGTCTCAGCACAGATTCCAGCAGCATCTCCTGCTTGCTGCATCTGTTGGCAAGGTATGCGTATGGCTGTCAGCACTTCCGGAGGAGAATGTTAATGTTGGCATGTTTTACCAGTCTGATCAAGCATCTAACACTCATCTGGTGGGAGAAGAAATGAGGGAAGACAGGAAAAGAGACCTCCTAGCAGTGAATCTTGCCTTTGATATTTGGGACAGAGTACGGCTTGTGTTAATGTTTCTTTGCAGCTGTGCTGGCATGGGTGGACTTTAAACCAGCCATACAGGGAATGCAATCCGCTCACACACCCCTGGGGCAGCAGCTCTGTTTGTGTTTTGTAGGGGTATGCACATAGTGATGCAGAACTCACAGGTACTACGAGTCTCTATAGGAGCTTTTACAAACAGAGGCCATTTAAAGCAGCCTGAAGGTTGCTCTACTTTGTACCAGTGGCAGATTTTGCCTTTGGCCCATGCCAGGATCAGGAGGAGTGGAAAAAATGTCTCTGCCTATCATTGCCTTCCTACGATAGCTACACCGACCAGCTCTTTACTCTGTTAAATCTGATTTCCTCAGTGCTATTCATGGTATAAAAGCAAAGGGTCTCTGGAGTAACACTGATTGCAAAACCAGTGTAAAAGCAAAGAAAATTAGGTCTGTTCTACTGTTAGCCAGCGTGTAATTTTTAGCTGGAGTGAGCATATTGCCACAAACCTTGTCAGGAAACAAACTGCGTGGCGATCAGAAGTACCTGGGGAGAATGCGCTTATTGATGTGTGAAATGCCTCGGCCGTCACTCAAGCGATCCTCGCAGCTCCAAGGACAAATAAGCAGCATCTGTGTTAATGCCCTTTGCAGCATTCAGCACTGGCGGCTGCATTTTGGGAGCCCAATGGTGGAGTGAGCCCTCACTGCTCTCCAGTCGGCTACGTTTCCATCTCGTGCGAGTGGTCTGTGCCCTCCAGAAGGTTTCAGCATGGTTGTTTTTCCCCCTTCACTGAGTGCTGTCTTAGACCAAGTGAATCTCAGGCTGTGAGGAGCACGGTTGTAGTCACCGTAAGCCAAGGCTAGATGTTTCATGCTGTAATCAGAACTGGCAACTTCCAGTGAGCTTCTTTACTACTTAAAAGCAGAATTGAATGTATAGTACCAAGGCTGAGATCATGAAGGAGCAATTTCTCTTGCATAGACCGACCTGGGGTACTTAGATGACCTGCTCTGTAAGCTGTAATTTAAAAACAGGAGGATAGAGAGCTAAGCATGCAACTAACCTTGAGGGAATTCCTAGGATCTCCCCGAAATCCCCCCAGCACACATTAAGAAGTCCCACTGCCCATGGATTTCTGGATGTACAGCTCTGGCACTTGAAGCTTTCCCTGTACAGATTGCAGATGTTGTTCATTGTCTGCAGCCTGTATTCACCTGTCTCTACTTCTTTCTGCTCATCCATAATCAGCCTCTTGAGCTATAAATGAGCTACTCAACAACCTACAACCTTATGTTTGTATCATAACCCATTAATCCTGGGCATGCTTTATAGGAGGTTTCTATTTCTAGAATAGTGGAGAGGGGGTTAAATAGATTTTGCACAGACACAAACATCTTGTGTTAAAGGTGGTCATAATCACGTCACTCAGTGTGCTATTGGGAGCAATCAGCTATGGTCATAAGCAACATATTGACCTGTCGGACTCTATAACAGCCCATAACATTTGATTATCCATTTCTTGAAATAACTATTAATTGTTCATTAGCCCTTTATGAAGTATTTTATACCAGTCTTTCATACGAAGCATGACTGAAATGTTAAAGCCTAGTATTTGACCTTTAAATTCAACCAATCAAAAAATCAGTAAAAACCAAGATTTTGCGTCTTTTCAGCAAAATCAGTCCCAGATTCAGCACCAGTCCCAGATTCATTTGGATGCAGAGATCTTTCTCTGTCTAAACACTGTGTGTCTTGCCAAGATGTTTTCCTGCGTCCCCTCTCCTGTTAGAGGACCATGGCATTATCAGAGTGAAATAAATTGAACCCATCTATTTCAGATCCCAGCCTCAGGACAGGTCAAGTCACTCTGATTCTGGAGATGGACAACCTGGAGAAACTCCAAAGAGCCGGGGTGAAGTGAGAGCATCACCTCTGGTCCTGGCACTGAAGGCCTGCTCTCATTCAGCAAAGTACTTCAGGATATGATTAAACTGAAGGGCTGGATGGAGCTGTAGCATTTAGCTAGGGCAGGGGAGGCACAACACACCATGAAGGCACATTTCTTAAGGGAGCCGTGTGGTTTACAAGGTCATCTAAGCACACAGAGCGGCTGAGGATATTTAGATGTCCAGACGTGGAGTGAGGAGCTTAGATACCAGTGTAGTATGCTCATCTTTATCACATCAGGCAGTCAAAGGAACCTTGGAAGTTTCAGCAGGACATTCAACTCCGAGGCACGTTTGTTGAAAGGTCTTTTATCTTTGCCTGCAGTAACTTTCTCTCTCTGATTCTTAGGACTAATAATACAAAGCTCGCTAATGCTCATGAAAATCCTTTGCACAGCTTCCAAGCTGGGCACTGCACTCCTGGAACATTTATACTCCAGTCGTCCTCCATCATCTCCATGTCCTACATCATCAGGCAGCAATGTGTCACAAGATTACTCATCACGAATTAAACCTCATGAAAAGCTGTTCTGAGCTGGGAATCTACAAGAAATACATTTTGGCAAATGATATGAGAAGCAGAGGAGAACAACAGATGTTTCCAACAGACAAACGTTTCCAGTTTGGTCATAAGTCTGTACTCTGCACCAGTCTCTAGATAACATCCTTCAGCATTGTGCCAAGGGGAACAATGGCTCTTCCGATTCCAGTGCTGCCCTGGTATCTGCAAACTCTGGGAGAGCCAACTCCAATTCCTTCCAACCTCATCTTCATCCAAAGATACCCAAGAATTTCTTTATTCTCTGTCCCTAGCTCTCCATGGCTATAATCCAACACCTGCATTTGAGCCACTGGAGGCAAAAATCCAAAATGTTCGCAAGGGGAATGGAGCAGTGGGAAGGCGAAAGACAGTCTGCCATGATATAAGGTGGGTAATTCCCTATCACCGCCTGAGCAAACACACAGACGCTGTGGCAGGGAGCCTGACAGATGGTTAGAGCAGAGCAATGGGCTTTTATTCACTGAGGCATGGCTGCCTTCGATTTCTGTTTGAAACAAAGATGTATCCTGGTTAGCAGTTCTCTGTTTGCTCAGACAAAACATCCCGTGTCTGGCTTGACCCAAGTCAAGTGGATGGATGTTCACATGGGGTGCACTGAAACCAGGCAGGGTCCCCACCAGTTCTTCCTCTACATCCAGGACGTTGGTCCATGTATCCATCCTGAGTGACTCGCTGTTTCCAGCCCACCATCCCTTTTGCTGTTGGCACTGTGAGCCTAGCGCTCAGGCCAAAGGCAGCTGAGGTGCCAAGTCCTCAGCTGTTGTGCCTGGACATGGCACCCCTGCCTGATTGCAGCCTGTCATAGGCAGTAATGGATCTTATGTTCCATTTGGGGATGCCTTTGCTGTCCTTGGATTCTGTCCTGTGATGCCACAGCTTCTTTGTCCAGGGTAGGAGAGCACCTGCCACCAGCACTAGGGATGGAGAAGAGGGGTGAATTTCTCCCCATTTCTGGGTAAATCTCCAAGGTCTAGGCTTGCTGAGGAAGGGGCTCACTGTGAAGCAGGCAGCCCTGCCCCAGAGATGGGCTGGCCTGCAGCATCGCTCTGAGCTGCAGTCCACAGGCAGAAAAGACTTTAAATGCTTTCCTTTCATTCATTTGCTCTTTTGTGTCATCAAGCTACCAGTGCAGACATCCTGCCTCCGATGTCACCTTTCAAGTGATTTCCCTCACCGTTTAAAAACACAAGTTTATCCCTCCTGGAGAGGTGAACCAGAGATACGTTTAATAGGAAAAGAGAGAGGTGAGGTAATCAAACACCTGCTCCCACTAAAGCAATGCCTTTCCTCTTCACAGGCTATTGAGCACTGATGAGCAAAGAGGAAGACACAAACCAACCCTAACCCTGTGAGATGTCCAGCCTTTAGAGTGGACACAAATCTGGGTTGTAAAAGCAGAAACATGAACTGCACTTTGTGCTCGGGTCCCAGCTGCTCTGCCCAGGTTAGAGAATGAACGCTACAAGTTGAAAACTACAGCACTACAGGCACGTTCACTGCTGCCTGTTCTAATCATCAGGCAGGAAAGCACAAGTGTTAAGTGGATAAATTTAAGATTAATTGCCTTTGTTATTTTAGCAGGAGAGCCCCTGATGCTGATCCATGCAGGCGCTGCTGGCCGCGACCAAAACCTGGCTGCCTCCTGGTTGCAAAGCACTGGCGGACAAGCATGATCCTCCTTGTAACAGCACTGCTCCTAAACGACCTCCCAGGACTACGTCTCTCTGGGTGCACATGAGATGTACCAAACCCCATTAGGGCATCTGTAGGGATGGATGCAGGGATAGTGACCATACTGCCACCTTCTTCCTACCAGAACATTCTCTTTTTCTCTTGCTGCCCATGCAGCATGTATCCTTGGCTCCCTGGCACTGCAATAGCTTCAAACAAGCCCAGGGGATGGGCATTTATTGCTTTCCTAAAGTACTCATGCAGGCTTTCAGATCTTCACATGCAGCCACTCTGAGGCTCCAGATGACTTGGATGTACTTGGAGAATGATGTTTTACAGTACTGAGGGGAAAAAAAGACAAAGCCAGAGAATAAAAGCAAGCCCAAAAGCCAGGAGGATTTCTGTACCGCGACTTTACCACATTTGATGTAGCAGTGACACTGAAAGCAGCTAAACAGTGCTAGTTGATTCTAATGCTTCATCAGATGCCCTTTTCCTGCCTGGTGAAAGACAGCAGTGCCCCCACAAATGTCAGTTTGAACATCCTCAGTCAGATCGCTGCTTGCCCACAGATTTGAGATCGTTTTCACTGCCTTTAATGGCTGACATACAATAACTTCAGAGGGAGCTGCACATGATGCCCACCACCAGGCAATCAGGCATCTCATCATTCTCTTCTGACACACAGCTCTCCATGGGGGATGGTCATTTTCTCTGGCTGGGGGCAGAAGCCCCCTGGTCCTTCGGCTGTTGCCTTCATCTAGTCTGCAGCTTGAAAGAAGAACTTTCTGCACATCAAACGCTGGCTAGGACCGACTGCCAGGGAAGTAAGCATATAAATCATGTGGAGAACAGTGACATCAGCCCCGGAGAGCTCTTTCCCAGATCAGATGCCTAAAAAATCCCATCTGATGTTGACTGCTCTGAAAGGCTGGAGGCACAGAGGTATGTGTTTCAGACAAGCAGTCCCCAAAGCAATCTGTATGTCTCTGTAGACTGCACTAGTGCTTGAATTTTAACCAGAAGGAAATAGGTTGCCAAAATATGGCAGGGCTCAGAGATGTTATACACGTATAACTCATCTACATGGTGAGCATTGTGCACCACCTATTATACTGCTGTCCTTGTCCATATTTCATTATAGGCTTGCCATTTCTCAGTGTGTAAAAATAGGATATGCTGGCATGGTTTAAATGGTGCTAAGAGCACTGTGAAGAAGCACAATGATAGTTGAGAGGGAAAAGAAGAAACAGACTTCCCCTAAGTAAAGAGCAATACCAAGCAAGTGCTGAACTGACAACCTCTGCTGCTGAAACCAAAATGCCCTGGCAAAAAGCCATCAATCACTGCATGCATATATATATATATGTGTGTGCATATATATGTATATATATGTACACACATACTGCAACCAGCAGCCTTGTAGAGGACAGCACATCAGAAATGCACTCAGCATGTGATGCACTGAGCTGTATATGGTACTGCAGTTATATACTGCAGGATAACCCTACTATTTTACCCATCTGAAGAAAATTAGGTTTGGTTTTGGAGAGCATTTTTCCATGACTTTCCACTTTATAAATTCGAAGGCAAGTGGCTGTACACTGTGACAGGTCTCACACCTCCCCAGTGTCCAGGATGGTTCCCAATAACTGAAAGGGAGGTCTCCAGGGCTGGTCTTCTGAATGTGCTCTGGTTGTGCTCTGCTGGTGCATGCAGTATTCAGTGCTACCCAAGGCACCCACTTTTCACTACTGATACGTCCCACACAAGGTGGGCTTTTGTTTGATGTTGGGGCTGGTCTATCAAACCTCATCATGGTGGTGTTTAGAGAATTGAGACCTTCAGCTCTCTGTAGGTGTCCTAATGGAATAATGATTATGTGTGGCTAGAGGAAGAGAAAAATCAAGAGAAAATTGGTTGCAGGTGATTCTGGAGACTTGTTTTCCAGGATTTAATACATTTTGGATGACTGACAGCTGGCCTCCCATAGTCACATTTTTATCTCAAATCTTTTTATTTCCTCAGGCGACATTTACCTCTGCTTTTTAAACAAAATACAGCCAGAACCAGACTATCATAGCACAGACTGATTGACTGCTTTCAGACAGCTCTCCAAGCTTCCTAAACATGTTAAACCACTCTCTTTCTGGTGAGTAGCTCCCAGTGATTTCAGCATGAATAAGGATGCAGCTCTGCCAGGAAGCATTAGTGAAAACATGATCATTCACAAGAGCCACTCAGTATGTCTGGGCTGAAATTATCCACAACAATATTTTTATAATTCTGTTTTTAATTACTAGTAGTGGCCATAATAGTCACTCTTTCAGCTGCTTTTCTCATTATCTAATATGGTAATAGTTATTTTTCCAGTATTAAGGACCAGTTAATGATTGGGATTTTGTTGAGGTTTTTTGGTTTGTTTTTTTTTATCCTGAGATAAAATTCAACTTTGTATGAAAAAGGATCGTGTTTATGTTTCATGGTAAAATGTTGTGGGGTGTCTTGCATTTAAAACTGAATCTCATAATCTCATTTACAAGTAGTAAGGAATAAAAAGACAGAGTTTAGCTAAGGTGTTTATACTAATGTTACGGAGTCATGGAGTGAAGCAGTTTTGCACTGAGATGTGCATGCAACATCTAAAATTCCCTAGATTTAGTGAGTAGGGGATCATTTTCCTCTTGGGTAGACCTTTTTCATCCATGGAATTCAAATCATTGCATCTGAATAGAAAAAAGTACTTTCAAAAGTCAGTTAGCAACAAACCCTCAAACCTCTGGACCTATAAATGTGATGAACTAAATGAGAGATGCAGACATGTAACGCTTTCCTGTCAGCCTGGGGAATTCAGTCCAGCAAGCTTATGTACTCCCCAGCACTACTCTGATTCGTTACCCAAACCACAGGAGACTGAGACTGTAACTAAGTCTCAGCACCAGAAAATCAAGCTGCCAGGGCTGGTACATGGTCAGTGAGTCTCTGGTATATAGAAAATCAGTGAAACATAGGCCTTTTTCCTCAGCAGCTGCACATTCTGTATTTATCAGACTTTATGAGATACAGCACCAGAGAAACTGGTGTAAGACCACTGGACTATTTACTACCACTGTACCAGAATAATTCATGTGTTTATTCCCCATCCCAAATACACCAAAAACTAAACCTCCCGCATAACGTTGCATTGATTTAAAGCCAAGCATGAATTTTTTGACCTTTAGTAAACCATGCTTCCTCTTTTAATTTTTCTTTTGAAGGGAGGGAACATGGATCTGTTCAGAAAAAATAAAGCAATTTTCCAACCAAGTGCATCAAGCATATCTCTAGATCCTTTGCACTGCGCTGTCCCCTCCTTTTGATGTTTCCTATTTGTGTTTATCTCCCAGAGCTCTCTACTGCCCTCCACTAAGTTTCCTCCCTCCTAGTCTCTTGCATAAGGAAAGCTATAGATGGAAATGTGCTTGCTTTGCTTGTCCCACTCTAAGCAGGGAATGCGAAAAACCCCAACGTGAAGTCCCTCTGTTTGTCTGTATATCAAAGCATTTCATCAGTGCACGTTGATTCACTGCCTGTATCATGCAATGCCCTTGATCTGGAGCAATGCAGGAGGAGGAAACCCTGCGGTGCTGCACTGGTAGCAGATAACTGGTGTTTTATTACTGGGCTGGTATTTTTCCCTTTTGGCAAATAGGATTGATGTAGGGGGATGGGAATTTAGCCTGCTGATGGCTTGATTTTGGAAAGCCTCCCTTTTCAGGACAGTTTGAGACATTTTAAGCTTGTTTTCAGTTCCCACTGTTTTTCCATTAAGTTTTTTTTTGTTGTTCACTTCCATGAAATTTGTCATCCAGTGCTTTTTTTGTTCCTTCATCTCTTCCAGTCTTTCAGCCACTTTCTGCACTTCAAACAAGAAAACGAGCAGGTCTTTGGTAACCAGAATTTGTGGAAATCTCTATCTTCATTTTACTGAGATTTTCATACCATGAATGCATTAATATATTCTGTCTGTCCTTAGAACAGTGGCAGGAGACAAGATAAGCTCTCAATGTCTTTCAGAAGTAAACAGCAATGTGTTAAACTGGTTTAACAGCTTTTGGAAGAGTTTAAATGAGGCTGCTTTTTTTTTTAAATGACCTTTTAAGAAAAAATTAGACATTTGGCTCTTTAGTGACACATTCATTTATATCACTTAATGTTGCATGCTGCTTCCTTTACAGGCGTTGCTGTGCAATTGCTGGCAAATGAAATAACTAGTTCCTCAGCTATTCTGCTGATTAGCTGATTTTAAAGGTGGGGATTCCCTTCGTGGAGTTTCTCAGCTGGGCACAGCATTGGCAAGAGTCTTTTATGCAGCTCCATGCACAGTGGCTTATGACGGTGACCTCCAAGGTTAGTGATAATAATGAATTGGGATGGTCTGGACCAAAGTAGTTTTTCTCACACTAAACTATTTCTGTACAGAAAACAGGTCTGATGACAACATTTCATCCCATCCACCATGCGCTTCCTCCACAGCTTCAGACATTCTCTGTGGGCAGCAGGTAAAAGAATTTGTCCGTTCTGTCAACACCACCCAGTTATCAGTCTCAATTCTGCCTAAATATCCCATATATACCCATGCTAGGCAAGCAGTTCTGCACTGCTGGCAAATGTATGGAGAAATCTGATGATGGGAAGTTGTGAATGCTCCATCCCTGGCCTTGTTCAAGGCCAGGTTGGACCGAGCCTTGGGAGGCATGGTTTAGTGTGAGGTGTCCCTGCCCATGGCAGGGGGGTTGGAACTAGATGATCTTAAGGTCCTTTCCAACCCTAACTGTTCAATGCTTCTAAGAGTACCTTAGAGGCAGGACTTGGGTTTCTTTGTGGCTGTTCCATTGCAGGGGTCCCAGACCTGGTGAGAAGAAGTTGGTGGGTGGCAGCTTTAGCATCGGCTTGACTATATGCACAGAAACAGGTATGGGACATGTTGACCATAGACTCTGGGTCCAGCAGTGTGCAATATAAACCAAAGAAACCCCCCAAACCCACAAACTAACTTGGTTAGAGACATTGTTCCTTGTGTGAGGGAGTATTTGTTGGATTCTGAGAACTGCCAAGGTTATAAAATCCAGATCTCCCACAGGGAGTTACAGTCTGGACAAATTTCTCCTCCTTCATAGTTTTACCAAGAAATTGTCAGTTGGTATT